TAAACACATTCCTACCTCATCGAACAAGCAGAACAGCACTAAGCAACAAATAAACACGCAACAACAGAAGAAATGTAGGAGACGACGTTTTCTATGCTGTCCATGCCGAGCCTATATAGCAGGTTGCCGCGGCAGTTGCAGTCAGCAGTATTTGACTGCTAGTGAGAGTCATGAAAGCCAGTGAGTAGTCAGTCATGACTAGTAGTCGCCGTCATGAATTAGTTGAGAGTCGACAGTTGAGGACCAGTTTTGAAGTGATAGAGAGCCAGCAAATACGTATAGAATACGTTGTTAATAGCCGCTACCAAGCAACGACCAGCGAAGACATAACAGACTGAGATTTAGCGTGTGCAATAATTTTTCTTTAAGTATATATATTAGCTGTGGTGTTATAATTTTTTGTAGTTACGGGTTACAAGAGTCAGATAAGTCCAATTATAAATCCCGCCTCCATGTCTAGTCACTAATATCTGAAAATATTTTTAATTGGTATTATTATTTTTTTTTCAAACAATGTAGTACCACATTTTTCCCACAGAAATGCAAGGAATTTAATTTAACTGATTTTTGTATGAGTAGGGATTTATTCAGTTAATTAAATAATACTTTAATTATTACGTTGACCTCTTTCCGGCCCCGGCGAAACACTTTCAACCTCAAATCCTGTTTGTCCACCCCTGGTCTAAGTGGAAGTACCCCATTTTATAGGAGAGATGAGCTATAAACACATGTACATAGTCAACACGTCTCCATTCTGGTATGGTATCACACTGTCCTCAGCTTGTATACAGGGCTTATTTGTCATCTCCCCCGTCCATACGCCGCAGGGTGTGATCAGCTAAAACACTGCTTTCATCTTACGTTATCCTCAGCTGTTAAGAGTCGAATTTCTGTCATAACACAAGTTACACACTCTCAGCAAAATGGGTGTAATAACTTAACAATAAACGTGCATGTATCAGATACGAAACCAATTCACAACATTAAGCGATATGTTGCTGAATAATGGCGTTGTTAAATGTAATACACTTTTATGGATCAACAATGTTATGGCTCTCGCCTTGCAGAAATATTAACCACACTCAATGTAATAGGCAGAATATATACCTCAGGAACTGTTTCACGGTTCGGAATTTGTCTTGAAAATTTTGGTTAACACAGATCAGTATTTTCTGCTTTTAGGGAAACCATAATCTCATTATTGTGTTCATAAAAACCTGACATTGTCTTAGATTCCGAATGAGTTGAGTCCAGTTCCTAACGCAATATCCTAATTTCTAAATATATGGATATTTTCATTACATATCTGGTAGCTAAAAGTAAGTACAGCTATCCCCGTACCATGCCGTGAAGGCGCATAGGGTTGTGATAAGTTGAGGGTCCCACATTGTCTAGACATTCGGCTCAAAAATGGCGGTAAGGTTGTCAGCCCTATGCGCCGGCCGTGCTTTACTCCCCAGGAAAATTATTTAATTAATTCCTGGTACCCATTTCTGTTAGAGACTGAGTATACCCCAGGGCCTAGTGCGGCTGGAAGGATTAGGTCAAGTGAAAAAAATCCAATGACCTCATCGGGACTTGAACCCGCATAGCTCCTCAACCACTACGCTACCGCGTGCTCCCACATATCTGGTAGTTAGTTATGAAATAAAAGAAACAAACAAGAACATAAACTGAACACGTAAGATTTCTCTAAATAGGTTTATTGCTGGAAGACATTTAGGATACTGATTATCTGAAGACGGAGGTCTCAGGTTTCTCCGAAACATCGGTAAGTATCCCCAAAATTCACATAGTATTGCATCCCAGAAGATCTCAATCTTAAGAAGATGAATAGTTTATTTAAGAACAGTCTCAGTGTTTTCGTACTACATAGGCTAGAAGTTGAAGACACGAGAAGCAGATTTGCAAAATAGGAAGAGGCTTCACGACGTGGGAGATATGTGTTTACAGGAGATAACATGTAGACAGAGTTCAAGAAGACAGGATTCCTAAAACAAGTCCAAAAGGGGCAACTACGATAGGCTTTACGAAGAATAGTTTAACATTTGAACCCCTGGAATGGCTTAAATAGATCAAATTCTTTTGCTTTGGGGGGGGGGGAGATAAGAAGTAAATTGTTTACTTCTGTTCATACCATATAAATCGCTACATTCCATTGATGCCGTGTTTGTTTAAATTTAACTGATGCAGAACCTCCTTGGCACACATCACGGTGTAGTTACACAGAGCCAACGTTTAAACGCTGAATGTCTATTACTGGACGACTTCTGTAATCCGTTTCCGAGTAAGCGTAGACAATTTAACTACTGACTTAATTTCTCAAATGCTCGGCAGAGTTCTTGCCATCTTTTCAAGAGATACGGGGATCGAATATACCTTACGCGGTAGTCTATCCAAGCTGTTTTTTTTCGTGATTCATTTTTAATTTCCACGAGCTAACTGACTGAGGAATTTGGATTCGATTCCCGGCAGGGCAAGAGGTTTTGTTCTCTTCACAGATTCCAGGCGTCCCTGGGGCCCAACCAGCTTCCTCTAGAATAGATACTGGGGATTCTTTTCCCAGGGGTAAAGAGGATATTACATGAAGCTAATTACTTGCCTCAATCTTGTTCTTAGGTCAAGAATGCATGGAGTTGTTCCTCCACTCTAGCATATGTCTTTCTGGTGTTTAATTAAGCACAGAAATAATTTAACTTTTGCCTTCGCTACAGCTGCTGGCTCATTGTAAAATTAGGTTTCCCATTTGACACATCCTATGCCGTACCCGTGTTTATATCCACTCCACAGACATTACGAAAGAGCAGTAAAGTTGTGAGCAGTGCTTCATGCAACCCCAAACCACGTTCTGTAACGTGAAACGCTGCCTGCCTGCAGAGGACAAGTACACTGCTTGCTAGTGCACCTGCTGTTGCGCACTGTTGCAACAGCATCCGCTGGACAGAAGTCAAATGGGAAACTGCATTAAACTTTGTGGTCTGAGGTTCTCACAGCGGTGACTCTCTTCTGGGATGTGACGCCATGTAGGAGGAATTTACTGCTGCCATCTTCAGAGTTGAATAGGAGGAGTCCGCAATAAGTAAGCGGTAGGCATAACTGTTGATTCTTTCCTACTGGCTGCTTGCGTGGCTTACTCTTCGATTTTCGACCATGAAGATGAGGCAGTACGTTTTTTAAAAACAGCGTTGAACTTCTACCGGACTACACGGCGTCTCGCCCCAGGAGATAGTACTAAATGGATTATATTGTAACAGATTTGATTAAAACCTTGCCAGACAACGGCTCAGTAAACAGTTCCCAACATGCAACAATATAAGGGAAACTGTTTTCTGTTTGGTCTGCGCCAAACAACTATAGAAAAAGAGGGTTGTACAATCCGTTTCTAAGCAACGGCTCAGTAAACACATGTATGTGTAACGCTATGTAACGCGGTGACGTCATCAACCTTGTCGACTGTGTTTTGCATGGGGTCTGTGCAAAGTGCTTATAAGAGATGTGAACTCAAATGCAAGTTCAGATCAGGGCATATAAAAGTCAGTTCTCGGCAGGAGATAGCCACGGGAAGTTCGTAGTTGTAGAAGAATTAGAAGTCGGCCTGTGAAGACTTAACATGCGATTTGAAGACTTTATGTGTGCCTTACGCTATATGGAAGTAAATTATCAGCCTTATGCTCTGTCCTGCTTGTCTCATTGAAAGAGCTCACTGTGAGCCTGCCAGCTATATAGCAGAATGCACGGGCACTGAAACTAGTTTGGATGTGTTTGGTGTTGAGAAAATCTCACGATTATTATTATTATTATTGGGGTGAGACTGAGTCCACTTGGTACTGCGGCCACTTCTGGCCTACTGTACCAGCCTCAGATGATAGGTGAGGGCGACTATGGAACAATTGGTGGAATGAAGTTTGGCAGGGGAAACAGAAGCACTCGGAGAAAACCTGCCCCAATGCCATTTCGTCCACCACAAATCCCACGTGACCTGATCCTGGCTCGAACCCGGGCCGCCGCGATGGGAAGCCAGCGACTAACCGCTTGAGCTATGGCGCGGCCAAATCTCACGCTGCACTGCGCGAGAACTGAACCCCGCCATAGAGTCCTTAGACACATTAGAGGCTCAGTTATCGCGGCTAAATGAAGTGTAAGGACATGGTGTAGACTGGTTATTTAATCACGACGATTCTTCTACAAAGGCTTTATGACGTCAAGTTACATAGGAGAATAACTAGTAAGTAAATAATGATTTGAAGAATGCCGTCATCTGTGATGTGGCACCGTGTAGACCTTGTGCGAACCGACGTTTCAGAGGAACCTATCGCCTCCATTTTCAGGGTAAAAAAATCCGGGAGCGAGGAACAAACGTAAGAGGTGGGTAGCCACATCCCAGTAGACGGCATTCTTCATAGTCATCACTGTGAAAACCTCAAATCCAAAATAAGGATTTGTTTCTAGTGGGCCTTGGCCAGTTCCAAGATAACATCCCGGATCGCACCTTCTCAGAATGGGGGAAGTCACAAAATACTGTAGGCCCTATTTCAAGGAGTCGATAGAGTCCGAATACGTATTTAGAGTATTACCGCTGTGCTAACTTGCTATGTTTTTCGTTATGGTGGAGTATAAAGAGCACGTGGATAACCTCGTCCAGTCTGAACATCAGGATTTAATGGATACGAGCTCAGCTTAACTCTCCGGCTGACTTTATACCCGAAAATATTGTTTCCTCCCCCCTCTTCAAACATTAAAAATGAACATAAGTCGGTTTCGAAGCTCTTCTGAAGATATAAATTCCCAGTATCCTTCGCTAGAATGGAACTCTTGTCGGTCAAAATAAGTCGCTCACTGGTAAGCAGGTGTGTCAGACATTTTAGTAAAAAGATAATCCATTTTGCCTTCTCTCCACATTTTTCTATCAATGCATTATGATTCGGTAGCGTAAAAAGCCGATCGTTGCCGAAGCAGACGATGTCTGCGAAATGCGAAGTCGCTCCGGTCGGATACAGCAGTGTGGGTGCAGCGGTGTAGCGAGAAGGACGTGAGTAGTGCTTTTAGCGGCGAAACTGCGAACTACTGTAAAGTGCGCGCTCCGTGGCTTAGTGCAAGTTTCGTTCCATAGTTGTTTCATAAACAAAGGAGTGTAAAAAAAGCGAGAAAAGCAATTAAGATAATATTACTTTGCTGCTGCTTATATGTAAAAAACATAGGTGCTTCGCTTGAAGACCAGCAACACAACAACTCAGCTCGAATTGTAAGTAATTCCACTTACGTTTTTCTCTCTGTTTTTGTGCTATTACTTGCCAAGCAGGTGTTTTGCCTACGTCCCGCCATAGCCAACACCTGTCGCCTGGCGTAAGATGCAGACAGCTGTATTGTGTTGTTCATTTCAGTGTTAGGTTATGTGACAGTTCAAAACAATATTCAAAGAAGATGGTAATATTGGGCACGAAAAATATGGTAAAATTGGGCAGTAACCTGCTGTTTAATTCTGTATTTCAGCATCCTGCTGCAAATAATTAATTAAACGTCAATGTATCCACAATCCGTCAATAATGCAACAATTGTTTATTCACCATTTAACACTTAACACGACATGTTTCGGCCATAGATGGCCATCTTCAGGTTTTTAAAGCGTCCAACTGTTACACTGCTCTGATGTGCGCAAAAATTGCGCGTTGCAGTCCATTTAAATTTATTTTTAAGGGGACTGCAACGCACAATTTAGCGGGCATCAGACAGGGGAACAGTTTGGACGCATTAAGACACCTGAAGATGGCCGTCTATGGCCGAAACATGTTATGTTAAATGGTGAATAAACATTTGTTGCATTATTGACGGACTGTGGATACATAGACGTTTAACTACTGTTTCATATTAGTGTTATGGCATCATTTTTACATAGCCAAAATGATTAATCATGTAGTCAGCCAACGAGTAGACCATAAGATTCGAATGGGGAAGGCTACCATGGGCCCCCACCTTTGGCCTTATACCAAAGAAAATGTTATTTGTAATTTTTCTTCTTATCGAACTATGAAAACAACCGACATACAGAAGCCTCGTGTTCGACAGCTGTAGGTTCAGATTGCTCATGGAGCTGAGCCCATCTTCAGAAGCTGCCAATTGTGCAGCTACTCAAGAACTTCCCACCATTTTATGAAACCAGAACGTTCATTACCGTGTTCACAAGAGTCCTCCACTGGTCCCTATCCTAAGCCAGATCAATCCAATCCATTCCATCCCATCCTGTCTCTGTAAGATCCTTTTTAATATTGTGCACCCACCTACGTCTTGGTCTAACCAGTGGTCTCTTTCCATCTGGCTTTCCCACCAATATCCTATATGTATTCCTCGTCGCTACCATCCGTGCTACATGCTCTGCCCACCACATCCTCCTTGACTTGATCATTCTAATTATAATTGGAGAAGAGTTCACGTTATGAAGCTCCTCATTATGCAGTTTTCTCCAACCTCCTGTCACTTCATCTCTCTTCGGTCCAAAAATTATCCTCAACACCCTGTTCTCAGACACTCAGTCTATGTTCCTCCCTTAATGTCAGAGACCAAATTTCACACCCATACAGAACCACAGGCAAAATTATAGTTTTGTATATTCTGATTTTTATGTTTTTGGACGGCAGACGAGAAGACAAAAGGTTCTGGACTGAATAGTAGCAAGCATTACCCAAGTTCAATCTCCTCTTAATTTCCTCCTGAATCAGGTTTCGATCAGTTATCGTCGTTCCCAAATATCTGAACTCTGCCACATTTTCAAAACATCTGTATCCTATCTTTATGTCGCGATTTTGCCCTGCATTTTGGTGACGAGACAGCGACATATACTTAGTTTTCTCTGTGTTTACTTCTAGACCAAACATATTATTATCGTCGGTAAAAGTTTTTTTAATGGTATCTGTATTATCACCCAGTAGATTCACATCATTGGCACAGAACAACAGCTGATGTGTCCCGTTTAATTTCAGTCCCACCTGGTTTTCATGGACCATCGTAATGGCATATTTTTTAATCAAAGTTGAAAAGGAGTGGCGATAAAGCATCTCCTTGTCTTAGACCATTCTGGATAGGAAATTTATCAGACAACTGTTTACCTATACGGACTCTAATATACGTTTCGTTTAAACACATTTTAATCGGTCTAACTAGTTTCATGGGTATCCCAAACTATAAGAATATTAAAAAAGCAGTCTTCTGGGATTTGGCAC